GCCAAGCCTGCCCCTTTCCAGCTACCCCGAGGAGCCGCCAAGCCTGCCCCTTTCCAGCTACCCCGAGGAGCCGCCGAACCTGCCCCTTTCCAGCTACCCCGAGGAGCCGCCGAGCCTGCCCCTTTCCTGCTATCCCGAGGAGGAGCCGAACCTACCCTTCGCTACCTACCTGGAGGAACCGATGCTGGTGGAGAGCACCGAGGACACTAGTACGGCCCAGGCACCCTACGAGGGGGAGTGTGGAAGTAGCCCGGGGGCAGCCGACCCCAGTCTGGCTGCAGCACTGCCAGAGCCTATGTCAATGTGTTGCGGCCAGGATCCCCACTGACAGCAGCGAGCTAGGGCCCTGGGCTGGGACGCAGTGGAGTGGGAGGGCCTGCGTGCCCCCTACCACCCACTCCTTGGGTGGCAGACTCCCCCTTTTCCCTGGCCTAGAGAGGCTGGGACCTGTTGCTCATTGACTCAGCCCCTGTTTAAGGGCCTGGGTTCCTGACTATTTGAGTGCTGCCCTGCCCTGACCTAGGGCCTGGGCTGCTACAAACCCATTGGCTCAGCCCCTGCTTGAGGGCCTGAGCACCAGACTGTGTGGTTGCTGCCCCGCCCTGATTGAGGGCCCGGGGCTTTTTCTGACCTATTGGCTCAACCCCTGCTTAAGGGCCTGAGCCCCTAACAGTGTGTTTGCTGTCCCGCACTACCACTGGACCAGGACTGACAGCGGACCAGAGCAAGGCGGTGGGATACCCCACAACCCCGCTGAGGGCCAAACCTCGGCCGAGACTACTACACAGCTGTTTTACTTTAAGTGGATTTTTTTTTTTTTAAATCTACAAAAACAGCAAAAGTTCAATGTGATTGAAGCCTTAAAGCTATTTTAATAAACTAATTTGAAATTAGAACCTCACAAGAAATTGCCTTAGAAGTTAGTATTACTTCTATGGGTTTTTAGGGTATTTTTTGGTTTTATTGGGGGGGGAGGGGTGTTCTTGGTGCTACTGCTTACTTACAATTGACAGCAAATCATTTGAGACACACAGCCATTTACATTTTCCAATCTCTAACAAAATTGTATAGTTACTGGAGTCGTACTTGACTGAACGGAAAATAAAGCAATACCATGCAAGTACAGCCTAAAACAATTCAAATCTTACCTGTTGACCTGTCATATGTGAACTCTAGAACACCTCCCAGTAAATCAGGCAGGGGGGTAACCAATACAAAAGTGTCTTTTGGTTCTAAACTAGGGTTGTCAATTAACCGCAGCAAATGCATGCGATTAACCCAAAATAAATTAACTAGATTAAAAAACAGTCACGATTCATCGCAGTTTAAAATTGCACTGTCAAACTATTAAAAATATTTTTGGCCGTTATTCTACATTTTCAAATATATTGATTTCAATTACAACACAGAATACAAAATGTACAGTGCTCACTTGTATTATTTAATACAAATATTTGCACTGTAAGAAAGATAAACGAAAGAAATAGTATTTTTCAATTCACCGCATACAAGTCCACTCAGTCCTATTTTTTTTTCTAGCCAATCACTAAGAGAAACAAGTTTGTTTATATTTATGGGAAATAATGCTGCCCGGCTCTTATTTATAATGTCACCTGAAAGCGAGAACAGGCATTCGCATGACACTGTCGTAACCATTGTTGCAGCCACTGTTGCAAGGTATTTACGAGCCAGATATGCTAAACATTCATATGCCTCTTCATGCTTCGACTTGAAGGCTCTCAAGTTTTACACAATAAAGAGATTGCACTACAGTACTTCTATAAGGTGAATGGGAAAATATTTCTTTTGCTTATATTTTACAGTGAAAATATTGGTCAAATAAAGTGAGTACTGTATACTTTGTATTCTGTGTTATAACTGAAATCAATATATTTGAAAATGCAGAAAAACCATCCCAAAATATTTATAATTTAAATTGGTATTCTACTAAGTGCAATTAAAACTGTAATTGTCACTTTTTTAATCTCACAATTGTGATTTTTTTTTAATCGTTTGACAGCCCTATTCTAAACCCTTCTGTGCGCACCATAGTTGAGAAATTCTCAAGTTGAAAGGAAAGTTGTTAGCTGCTCCATATATTACCTCTACTTGCTGAGGTCTCTTGTCCTTTAAGGTAGTTTGGGAGGGTGCCTGTACTGGTGTTTTCCCAAGATGTGACAACATTTATCAGCTAAGAAAATAAAATGCTGCCCCATAATACAGCTGCCACCAGACACACAAGGGATCTACCAAGCAATGACCTAAATGCAGGGGTATAAGAGAAGGAATATTTATGGGGAAAATATTAAGTGTTCAGCATTGTCCTTACTCTGCCTTCACTGAAATCAACAAAAGTTCTATCACAGAACTTCAATGGGAGAAAAGTTAGGCCAATGCTGAACATTTAGGAAAATTTCTATGTAAACTTACAGTGGGATGATAGCAAATATTGAGGATGAAATGAGGACAACTGGGTACAATAAGAGAAAAATTGTCTTATGACGACCTTTTATCCAGGTCCCTCAAAGTCAGTCTTCACAGTGGGTGTTCCTCATCTCCACAGCAACTAGAGGCAGAGTCTTTGTTCAGAGCCTGGGCCTACGACCATCTTTTAAGAAAAACCCTTCAAAACAATAGCTTTCAAAACTAAAAATACTGTCGTCCTGGAGAGTTCTCCCTAAGAAGTGGTCCTAAGCCCAGGCTCAGAACAAATATCTGGTCTGCCTCCAGTTGCTATGGAGACAGGGAGCCTCCATTGTGAAGACTGACATGGAGGGTCTTAAATGAAAGGTCACAGTAAGACAGAATTTTCCCTCTCCCATTCCATTCCACGTCAGATGAGTCACTATGTTTTCTACATTACACTAATCTTTAGTGAAGGAGGGGGGATTAAATTTATCCATTAAGAATTCAAAAGAAACTTACAGGTTCTAGGACACCACTGCATAACACCTTTCTACCAAAGCAATAAATACTTCAGCAGGGATGACTATGTCAACTCTATAGTGTCTGAGAAAGTAGTAGAGTTCAAACAGTGACCAGAACAATCACGGTGGGGCATTGTGGGACACTTCCCGGAGAACACTAAGGTCAACATAGGTAACGCAGGGTCTACACTGACACTGCATCACCCTAACTACATGGACCTAAGCACTACACCTCTTGTGGAGGTGGAGTTATTATGTCGGCGTAGTGGGCAAGTTACATTGGCAAGAGCAACATTTTCATATAGATCAGGTGTGGCCAAACTGCGACTCGTGAGCCACATGAGGCTCTTTTACAGTTAAAATGTGGTTTGGGGGGCCCCCCATGCCCTCTCATTCTCCACCTACCGGAGGTGGGAGAGGGGGGGGAAGAGCTCAGGGCTTTTGCCCTGAAGGTGGGGTGATGGGGCTAGGGGCTTCTGCCCAGTGGGAAGGGGGTCCAGGGACTTCACCCCCATTCTTGCTAAAGCCCCAAGCACCAGCAAGCGCCTCCCCTGGGGCTGAAGCCTCAAGCCCTGCCACAGGGCAGAAATCACGGGAAGATGTCCTGGCTCTCAAACTTCTGATTATCATCATATGCGGCTGGGAGGATCAGTAAGTTTGGCCACCCCGATATAGATGCTTAGTGTTAAGTCAACATAAGCTGTCTTGTGTCAACTTAACTCTGTAGTGTAGACCAGGCCTTACTCCAGAAGCCTTACAACACGTCTCAAGCAACTGCTTAGGGCCATGCTAAGAGCCTGGGTCTCATCATCATCTGGGGAGAAGCAACTATAAGAAGAATTTTTTTTCTTAAGCGGATGACCACGAGGGGCCACAACTGGGACACTGAACAATGCAGGATAATGAGCAAACAGCTCAGGAGGAACTAGACTCAAACCAGGGATGGCAGGAAGAAGTCCAGCAGTGGAAATATCACCTATTCATTTTCTGAGGAACTGGATAGGATTTCGATTAGTTACACTACAAATCAATGCAGGAAGGTTGTGGATCCCACTGTCCACTCTATTCTCACCCCAAAGACTGACCAGCAAAACTCAGAGGATGTGCACAAGAAGGCCAATGAAGAACTGTCCCTGGAAAACCAGGATCTGTTCATGACCCCAGACCCTGGCACTGGCCAGGTACACTAACTCCTCACTTAATGCTGTAGTTATGTTCCTGAAAAATGCCACTTTAAGCTAATCCAATTTCCCCATAACAATTAATGTAAATGGGGGGATTAGGTTCCAGGGAAATTTTTTTCACCAGACAAAAGATTATATTATATACACACATACATACATACACACACACACACAGAGTGTGTATGTGTAAGTTTTAAACAAACAATTTAATACTGGTACACAGCGATGATGATTGTGAAGCTTGGATGAGGTGGTGAAGTCAGAGGGTGGGATATTTCCCAGGGGATGCCTTACTGCTAAATGATGAACTAGCAATCGGCTGAGTCCCCAAGGGTTAACACATTGTTGTTAATGTAGCCTCATGCTCTACAAGGCAGCACGAATGGAGGGAGGGGAGACAGCATGGCAGACAAAAACGCACACCGTGTGTGAGAGAGAGAGATGTGCATTGCCCCTTTAAGTACGCTGACCCCACTCTAAGTACACTGCCTTTTTAAA